TGTTTACTGCGATTCTCAGGCAACCTTTTGAATAATATGTGCTCCCAGTGGTTGTAACTTTTTATATCTGTCTTCAAGATATATTCTCTTAGGTTCGCTTGTTATGGGCAAACAGCGTAAAGGAGGACTTCCATATTTGAAATCTTCACTCAAAATTGACTGGGATTCGGGCCGTGGAGTGTCGATCGCTGAGCAGAAGACGTTGATTTCCGATGTGCTGAGCTATCTGGAAGAGAACGGAGATCGAGACGAGCAGCCTGAACCGTCCACTCGAAGTATCCTGAATATCGTGACACCTAATGCTGGTTATGGCCTTCAAGCCTGTCTGGATCTTACCAAGACCGAGGCATCTCCGATCGTCTTTCTCGATTCGGTCTGCCCTCGTCCCAGCGCTGTCTCAAACGCACTTGGTCTCTATTTCAGCAATTATGCTGATACGGTGAAAGTTTACTGTCTCGAAGGTGTCGAGGATTTGTTGTGGAGTAAGCTCAATCGAAAAACAAATGCTTTTGTACTGAAAAATTGTCCCACCAGAACTTAACGAACGATTGCAGACTACCCTTACTCCAATGCGCCTTCAAAAGGGTAGGCATAGCTCGGCCCTTACTCCTGTTTCCCTTATAAAATCCATGGGAAAGCCTGAAAAAGCTAAGAAGTGAATCAGATTTATTCAGAAATATCTATGGTTGTGTGCACTATACCCTTATCCCTATTGCCTTTGTCTTCTTAAGAATCGAATCTTGATTATGTATACCACGTTCTTTTAGTTTCTCCTCTTTTTTGAGCCTGTTTTCATGCCGAGCTTTCTGAAGTGGAGAATCCACAAAATAGAGATTGTGTGTGTTGACTGGTTCTCCGAATCTTCTGTTGGAGTTACCCATCTCGCTCTAGGCCTGATCAGTTAGGTGCCAGACTTAGCGACTGCGATCGCGTCGGAAACGCGGTTGAGACTTCTCTGCACCACTGAGGCTGCGATCAGAATTGCAGTCGCGAGGTCTGGATGCGCCTCAGGCCGCGGTCATAGTTTGCAATCTTGCTATTTTTTCGTGCAATACTGGCCGCGGCGAGCGCGGACGAGTCTTCAGTGCTCCTCAGGTCGGGTCATCCTAGAATTCGGGCACCACTCGTTTGCTCGAAGCAAGCTTAAAAGTAAACCTAGGCCCAACCATCAGCTAATCATTGGTGCGAATGTTCGGCTCCCCCACTTTCTTCACGATTTGGGGCGCGGCCGCGGCGAGCGCGGCCGAGTCGATAGTGCCCGCGAACTGTGTGGGTAAATTTGAAAACGCATCACCACCACAGTTCGCGGGCACTATCGACTCGTCCGCGCTCGCCGCGGCCGCGCCCCAAATCGTGAAGAAAGTGGGGGAGCCGTGAATGTGGGTCAAGCGCAGCCTATTCATCTAACTCCAAAGCGTAACGCTCAGGTCTCTGATCGCGAAAGCTCTGGGACCTGACCCAGGAGAGGAGTGCAACGTCTTTCGCCCGCTGCCAGCGCCTTAGGCCGATGTCAGACTTTGCGAATCGCGCGATTCGCTAGCGTCTGCGGTCGCGTCGCGGCCAGTGAATCACTCAATTGGCTGGTACCGCAACGCGACCGCGGACGCTAGCGAATCGCTAGTAGCGAATCGCGCGATTCGCAAAGTCTGACATCGGCCTAAGGTGAAGAAAAATTTGCGGAGGCGCCCTTCCCCATCCCAACTATGTTGCCACCGCAATACTAATATTTGCAGTGGAGGAAGCTCCGGGTAATTAATTTGCTCAGTCTCAGACATCAGTATTTATTCTCCTGGCCTTAATAAGAAAAGAAGACCTTTTTAAGAGGTTCTAAAAACCTTAGCTGCTCTGCATTATGCTCACGCATTCCCTTTGCGTAGTTGAACTATCAATGTTTTGTTCAGTCGATATCCGAAGTTGGGGTAGGTGTTTGTTCACCGTGAGTGACGTGCACTTGATAGAAGCTATGTGGATAAGCTGTTGCCAGCATGCTTTGCTTATCCAGCGATGTATATCAGAAGCAGCTTTTCCACATAGTTTCCACCAAGTGCACGTCACTTCCGGTGGTACGCCTACCCATCTCTCCGAATACGAGTATAATGGATACTTGTAATTATTAAAGGCATAAGTGAAATGTGGCACTTTAGTCGGGACCAACTTCGTCGGGATGGCCATTCTTCCCTGTCCAAGTCGCAGCGTTGACTGCGGTTTTGCTGTTTTTAAGGGCGAATCCGCAGATTGGCAGAACTATGGCCGTGGTTTTTACGGAGCAGCTTTTGACAGTTCTGTTGTTTCTTGGCTCCGTCCACTATTCGCTCAAGTGGTACAAACCCTCAATGTCTCGTGGGTGTGTAGGATTTGCTGACATGTTCGTGTTCTCTATATCCTCTGAAAATTGTTAATATGGTTAATTTTTGTGTTGTAAAGTTATAATGTATGCACTTGCATCTGTTACCTACCATCCGTAGCTTATCCTGTCATTACTTTAATTTTTCACTGTTCATGATTGTTATCTCATTTCCTCCTATCGTTATGTCTGTTTACTTTGTTGCGGTTGGAATAAATTCATTTGCTTATGTTCCAGTGACGGGAATGGTTGGTACAACACAAGAGAAGGAGAAGAAGAAGGAGGAGAAGTCGACCAAGGACAAGGATGACAAAAAGAAAACTGGCAAAGAAGAGAAGAAGGATGAGATGGTGAGTGCTGCAGTGTTTTGTCTCCTTCTGCCTCGGCATTAAAGCGAGATTATGAATTCTTTCAGACCGAAGAGGATAAGAAACTAGAAGAGGACCTTAACATGCTGGTTCAACGATTAAGTTGTAAGTCCTTTTTCCTTCTTTCCTTCTAGTCTTTTCACTTTATTCGCTGGCATGTTGACTATTCTTTACAGAACATTTTGGCATCCAGTTCAGTTTGAATGGGTCTGCGCTGTAGCTGGTAGTGTTGGACTACGCTGTCGATCTTGCGCTTCCATCGCGCCGGATACAGGTATCACGTTCACACTCGTGTGGTGCACTGCGGTGTTTTGGGAGCTCTTTGTCCAGTTTCCGCTCTGCAGAGTAGTTGTAGCAGTGATTTCAATTTGATCGTAGGCAGCGTTCAGAGTTGGCGATTGCACATGCGATTAGGCAATCAGTTTTTTATAGAGAAAGGACATGTATCAATCGGCTGCTCAGGTGATCGTTCAGTGGGCGAAGCAGGTAAGTCGATGTCGTATCATTTTCTTTTCGTCTAGTCGCCCATTCGCGAGGGTTTACTCGCCTAATGGCCTAATCTCCCATTCGCGTAATCGCTCACCCTTTTAATCGCCTAATCCAGGCGTGTACTTTCTTTTCAAATGGACGCGACTGGACAGGGTCGGGAACGAGGATGTCGGAGCGGTCACGCAGATCGGCAATTGCTCAACAGCGATGAGCGGATGAAATGGTCCACGATTGCTGCCATTTGCTACGAAAACGAGCGTGTTCTACACTACTATTGTCCTACAAACAACTTTCCATTGGTGGCCTATCCGCTTCATCCCTGCTCTACTCACTTCACCTCACTCCTTGGATTCGCGGATTTCCCGTCTGCAGTGTGTGATCACGGAGCATGTGTCCGAAGGAATGGACTTGGCTTAAGAGAGGTGGACTGTAAAAATCTTGTTCCAATAAGAGAACGTACGAGCTTTTTTATGAGTTCCGTGGCGCAAGAATAAGTTAGACGCTATCGCAAAATATGAGGACATTCTCATCAGGGTTAAGCTTGGTAGGGTAGGAACTTTAGGGAAAAATTGCTCATGCTACTGGAGTCCCTCTCCCTCCTCAGGCTGTGTCTTAACTGAAGCAAAAAGTAGATGTTCCACGGGGTTCTGAATGGATTGCCACCGCATGTTGCTGCATCTTGCTATGTCGTCGAAAACTATTGTCAGCATATAGGATTTGTGAAGGAAGCTTTGGTTGAACAGGGAGGAGAGCGGATTTACCCTCACTTGATGCTGTTCCTTGCTTTCCTTGATGTTATCAATCGCTCCTTTCTCGTCAAAGTCTCGTCATCGTTTTTTCATTACCCTAGTAACAGTTCTACATTTCGTTTTGTTTCGTAGAGCCTTTCAAGAAAATCTGTATTAATAGAGTGTTTGGACGAATACTAGCAGCATGATCAGAAACATTTGGAACTATATGACTGTACGAGTTATTTCAGGAAAATGATGCCAGTTTGTATCAACCATCGTTGGAAACAATGCGAACTCTGATTCGAGCCTCCACCACATCAATGACTTCTGTACCGAAGCCTCTAAAATTCATGAGACCTCACTATGCTAAAATGAAGCAGGTGTTCGAGAAAATGCAACCAGGCCCGACAAAGGTAGGGAGTCGCATGATTCTTTCCTCACTTTTTGACCTGTAATAGTCCTTTCTTTTCAGAACCTTTGTGCCGACATTATATCTGTATTAGCGATGTGTTCAGACGAGAAGAGTGATTGTATCAATTTCCGCATGAAGGTGATTGCCCTACTCAGGTTTTGTTAGTGTTTCTTTGTTTTGTTATACCTCAATTTTAGGGGATGCATGAACCAATTGGCGACTGGGGACACGAATACGTTCGTCATCTTGCCATGGAAATGTCAGAGGAGTGGAAACAAGCATCTGATGGCTCCGAAAAGAGCAAGGCCAGGTACGAAGGTGATAATCTCTTTACGTGAATGTAAATTTTCACATTTAGACGCAACGAACTTCTTGTATTAGCACGAGACATTGTCATGCACAATATGAAGCATAATGCCGAGGTTTGATTTTTTTGTAGCCTACTTTGTTCGAAAAAAAAACACAAGTTTTCCAGGTAGAAGCATGTGATTTATTGATCGAGATTGAGCGACTAGATCTCCTTATGGAATACGTGGTGGATGTCGACCATCAAAGGGTCTGTCTGTACCTGCTCAGGTATCGCTCATTTCTATGTTGGAATCTGTGCTCACCAATGTTGCGCTAGCACTTTTAATTTCCTGTGAAAAAATTTCTTGTTTCCTCTATCCTGTTTGCTTCAGTTGTGCTCCACTGACGCCCGATCCAGACAACTTCAATCTCATCCGAACTGCAAAGGATATTTACTTGAAATATAATCGCTACCTCGAAGCTGTGCGTTGCGCCATCATGTTGAATGATCCTGCTGAGATCAAAAACATCTTCACGAAGACGGATGATTTGTGAGTGGCTTTTCGCCATTTATGTTAGAGAATTACTTTAGCATCGAACATTGAATGAAGAGAACCCATGCTAAACGGTCCAATCTTTGCTTCCGCCATAGTCCCACCCACCTTCTTCTCCCTAGGAGGAAACCTAATAGGGAGTAGGGCCTAGGAGAGTCTATCTATGAAGGCAGTTCTTCCCGCTCTCGCCAATGTGGGGGTGCCCACTAACTGAAGACTTAAGTTGCGAGTTATTCCTTCATTAAATCGATGTTGGCATTTAGCATCTTATTCCCCACATACCCATCTCCTATGGCCCAGGCTCGAGCATAGACACCCCACTGTCCGCGCTACGACCCCGCGTTTGACCTTTAATTCCTCTTTTGTAAGCCTTTCTTGTAGAATTTCAAAGCTTTGAAAGTGTTGTTACACTAGAAAGATTTGTGAATTTGTTGGCTCCTCCATATCGTATTGCAAGTACTCTCCTTCTGTAATTGCAGTGAGGTAAAATTATCGTCCTTATCACCTAAATAATCTTTCTAGGGCGAACAGAAACTCGAGAATTTTACCTTATCGTTCTAGTTACTCGGGATTGAGAAATTTGCTCGCTGAATCATTGCTGCAAATCCTTTGATAACCGCCCGTTCTGAAGCACTGCTCACGTTTGGGGCTCGATCGAAGTAGTTACAGTCGGTTTTAAACACATAATACTTCAGCCTACAAAAGCAAGGCAATTTCCACAAACTCGAACACGCCCAGAGTCTCCTGGAGTTGGGAACAACCTATGGCGAACAACTGGGAGAACTGAATTCAAATGCTCACCTTTACGAGTACTTCCACTCGCTGGCACGCGAATTGGATATTATGGAACCAAAGACGCCGGAGGGCATCTACAAAAGCCATCTAGAGCATAGCAGTGAGTTATGGTTTATTTGAAACACTTCTACGCTACTTTTGAACTATTCGGATAATCTATTCCTCTGTTCTTCTTGATTTACCCATGTTTTCGATCGCATATATTCAGTGACAAAGTTCAAATATATAAGATTTAGTGGCATTCACATTTCAGGACCGTTTGGAAATACTGCAGCTCCCGATTCAGCGCGAATGAATCTAGCTGCCGCATTTGTAAACGGATTTGTCAACTGTGGTTTCGGTGTAGATAAAATGATGGCCGAAAGTGAGGATGCTAGCAAATGGTTCTACAAAAACAAGGAATACGGTACGTAGTATCTATTGTTTAATCTTGCATTCTTTTGTTTCATAACATTTTCAGGTATGTTATCCGCGGCCGCTTCTCAAGGTCTTGTTTGGCGCTGGGATATTGATTCTGGGCTTGGCCAATGTGATAAGTTCCTGTATGTGAACGACGACTTCATCAAGGTGAGTGCATGCCCCGAGTGAGTTTTCTGATGTAATACTATTTACTAAATTTAGGCCGGTACCTTACTTGCGATAGGAATAATTTCGTCTGGTATCCAAGATGCTTGCGACCCTGCTTCAGCTCTTCTGATTGACCATATTCATTCTGAGAGGTATTTTGTGCGCCATGCTGTAATTTTGTTTTTCTCGTACATCTTTCCGACTATTCTCACCGATAAACTTCCGAATTCCAGGGCCGTCATTCGCGTCGGTTCCGTGCTAGGGTTGGGGCTAGCTTATGCCAATTCCAAACGTGAAACTGTAATCAAAAACGAAGAAGGTGGAGTGATATTCGAGCTAAAAAAGGTAGGTTGCTTTCTTCCATGTTCCTTATTCTTGAGTATTCAACTGAGTTTTAAGGTGCTTACGGATTCAAAGCCATCAGCAACTAGTGAAGTGAAGGGCCTCACTGGTTTGGCTCTCGGTTTAATTATGGTTGGAACAGCAGATCATACTGTAGCCATGGAAATGCTTCAAACGCTGATGGAGCGCAATGAAACCGAGCTTAGCGATCCGAACATGCGCTTTTTGGCCCTCGGAATTGCTTTAATTTTCTTAGGTTGGTGGTTTATATCGATTTTACTATTTAGTTTTTCGTTGATTTCCTTGTGAGCACTTGTTCTTGCAAGAGTTCTCATTTGAGAAAAATGTTGGAAGTCAGTTTCGATATGAGGGTGTTGTGAAGTTTGTGTGGGGATTTAGGTTATATAATTTGAATTTTTAGGTACTCAAGAAAAGAGCGAAGTGTTTGTGGAGTCTTTGAGGTCGTTACCCGAACCGTTTCGGTCCCATGGTATGTATTAATTTTTACTCACGGTTTAATGAGTAGAAAGATCTTAAGTTTCATGGCAGCTGTGAAATTTTCGACCAATCGCGATTTATGTGATTCGCTAGCGATCGGAGCGATTCTTAGTGCCCAACGTCCCAATGAGCGTTCTTTGGAACATCTGGCAATAACAGGCTGTACGGAAACTCTCATCGTCGCTATTGGAACATCAAGCACTTAACAGGAAAGGCTTTCAACATGGAACTTTGAATTGAGACCTGGGCGAATCGGTAGAGTATGGCTAGAACGCTGGTTACAAAAATGAAGTTCAAAACTGCTACGTAAACCTGCCAAGGAAGTTGTAGTGATCAAATTGGTCCAAGGTTCGAACCCCTGCGATGACAAAGTTCTTGCATTTTATGTGGACCTTCCAAATTGGTGCCAAATGGGCCAAGGATAGATGTCATATTAGTCACCGGAGCAATCTTTATCCTTTGAAAGGAGGCGTTTATCAAACACTAACACGAAGGTAGCATTCACAACCAACTTAGACCGTGCCATAACTTCCTTCACGGGTTACCTGGCACTTTTGATTTCCACATTTGTAACTAGCTTCCAGGCTATCGATTTATCTAGGTCTCAATTCGGAGTTGCATGGAAAGTTGAAAGCTTTTCCTGGTAGGAATCGCACGAGTCGCTAGCGATTTCTCTCAGTCTGACGCTTGCTTAGGAATTATTCATATCATTCCATACACTTCTGCAAAATTTGCTCGATGTATTAGAATTTTCCCTTTATTGGAGTTTTCCATGATCCTTCTCTTCAAGGTTTCCACTTTGGTTGATGTGTGCGCTTATGCGGGAACTGGTAACGTATTGAAAATACAGAAATTGTTACACATGTGCTCGGAACACTACGAAACAGAAGACAAAAAGAAAAAGGTATGACAGTTGAGTTTGTTTAGTTTATGAGTGCTTTGTTATGGAAGTTTCTCTCATCTCTCGCAAATTAAATATTTGTCCAAATTTTCGGGTCTGGGAATACAGTGCGTTTCAAAAGTATGTGCACACCCTCAAAATTCACGTTTGAAAGGGAACCATGAGGTTTCGTGCTATGAAATCCTTCTCAATCGATTTCTCGTAGTCGATAACCTATCAATGGAAGCAAAGCAGATAATATCGCCTCACTTTCGAAAAAATTTTGGATGAAATTTTTTCTTTGTTTCAAAAGTATGTGCACACTTAACAAAAGACAAAAACATAGCTGAGATTAGAAATCAGTGGGGCCTCCAGAGTTTCTAATTAGCTCAAACATCCTGTCCGGCATAATCTGAACCACGTTTGGCATAGCTGTTTCGTCGCTGTCGGCCCAAATAGCCTCTACCGCCGCCTTCAGTTCATCCGCGGTATTATACTGCCGGTTGCTAAAGTTAACGCCTTGATCAAGGGCTCCCTATAGGGTTGCAGTAAGGAGGACACACAAGCCAATCTATCGCTTCAGCACCATTTGGTTAAGGCCATTCTTTGGTAGATTGCGAAGCATCGAAAGACACGTGGTCCTGTTGCTAAAAATGCAATTTTCGCTCCGCTTCGCTAAGGAAGGGCAACAGGTGACATTGGAGCACTGCTTGGTATTCTTTACAGTTCATACGCAATAATGGAACGGCAACTTCTGAATTTCCGCTGATTGCGAAACCGCCGCAGACCCATCAACGGGCCTCTTCCGAAATTCCTTCTCGAGAGCACGAGCGACTCACGGCCAAGCCTCTCCAGTAGTAGCAAAATCCACCCGGCCCGTCAAGATCGAACTCTTTCCATGAGTTAAGATTACCTGAGGAGAGAAAGTTCATAAAAAGTTGCTTGTTTTGAAAATAGGAAATTCTCGAAAAACCGTGTCTTCGCCCGGTGTCCTATCCTATGTTGCCATGTCTGTACGAGCAGACTCCAATGTGGCTAACTTGTGCTGGGCCTTGAAGTGAGTAGCCTTTCTCAGCGTCTGTCGAGTGGTGTATTCATTTGAGCGGATGAGGGGCTTAGTGGTCATTTTCGAGGCTGGAATAAAAATCTGAGCTCGGACTGTCAATGAAGAATCCGACAGGATGTGGGCTACTCTTTTGTTGTTCTGAGCAGTCAAGGATCGTGGATGGAGCGGAGTGTGTGCTGAGTATAATTATCAGGGTGCCAGATAAATCTTCGAATGCATTAAGGAGAACGACCAAGTTATCGTGCGATTTCTAGATTGGAACGTTCATTATCATGCAGAACCTTGATCTGAGCTTGCTCATCTTCAGGAAGAAGTATGGCGCGAATTGACATGATGACGAAATGAAAACAGCAAAGTCGGATTGAAATCGGTGGAAATTCGGCGCCAAAATCTGATCTTCTTCAAGTGTGCACATACTTTTGAAACAAAGAAAAAAATTTCATCCAAAATTTTTTTTCCGAAAGTGAGGCGATATTATCTGCTTTGCTTCCATTGATAGGTTATCGACTACGAGAAATCGATTGAGAAGGATTTCATAGCACGAAACCTCATGGTTCCCTTTCAAACGTGAATTTTGAGGGTGTGCACATACTTTTGAAACGCACTGTATGGAAAGAATCTTATCTTCGATGTAATTTTCCAGAAGGATGATAAGTCAAAGAAGGATGCTGCGAAAACAGAGAAGGACAAAGATGCAAAGCCTGATCTATCATCTCAACAGGCCGTTGCTGTAATTGGAATTGGGCTTATTGCGATGGGTGAAGAAGTTGGATCTCAGGTTAGTGGAGTAACTACATCTCAATTTCTAACACGTTACAGCGTTACCTTACAGATGGCTCTAAGAATGTTCGGACATCTTATTCGGTACGGTGAGCCAGTAATACGAAGAGCCGTTCCGTTGGCATTGGCTCTGATCTCAGTTTCAAATCCGCAACTGAATATTCTGGAAACTCTTAGAGCAAGTTTTCGCACGACGCTGATTCCGGACACCGCTCACAACGCTATTTTTGCGATGGGATTGGTAGGAAGATTTTTATTTAACTTTTTTTTAGCTACTTTCCAAAATTGCAGCACTATTTCTCCTCAAAGGTTTTCTTTGTGTGCTGCTTGACGTTCATTCATTTTGTCTTTCGTTTGCTTTCCGTGCTAAGTTGTTATTGATTATCATTAAAGGTCGGTGCTGGAACAAATAATGCTCGTCTAGGTTGCCATGCTTCGGTCGTTGGCCAGCTATCATCATAAAGATCAGGTAAGTCGGGCTTATTATGCTTCTGAATTGAACGTTCTTTTCCCTTGAAAATGTTTCCATGTTTCAATTTCCTTGATGTTTAGTGCGGCTTTCCAAGGATTGGACATTGGGCAAGGTACGTGACCATTAAATCCATGGCACTCTGATCGACAGTTGCTATGCCCGAGCGCCATCGCAGCCCTTCTTACCATTTGTTTCGCATTCCTGGATGCCAACAACTCTGTAGGTTTTTTATTACCTATTGAAAAGTGGTTCCATTTTTTCACCACATCATTCCATCCATTCCTACTATGTATTTAATCTGAATTATTAGGTGTTGAATAACCGACAACATTACTTGCTTTACACACTTGTGCTTGCTATGCAACCTCGAATGCTCGTTACGTTATGTGTAGATGACAAGAAGCCTGGTCAGCTAAAACAGGTAGGGTTCTGAAAAAGATTTCCTCTACGTATCTGCAAAAAAAACATTCTAGGCAAAATTTTTGAAAAATTCATGTTATAGGTCGGCGTTACGGTACGAGTGGGTCAGGCCGTTGATGTGGTAGCACAAGCGGGTAAACCCAAAACAATCACTGGCTTCCAAACGCATACAACGCCTGTTCTTTTGGCTTATGGCGAGCGAGCCGAATTAGCGAATGAAGAATGTAGGTCTTAGCTATTGCAACATCTTTTAAGTAGATATATTAAGGCAGGTTTCACCGTGACTTGTTTTTCAACACTTCAGTGGCTCTTCTTTTCAGACATAGCAATGACGCCGTACTTGGAAGGTCTGGTGATATTAAAGAAGAACCCTGAGTATGATACACCGGTAGCAGCTAAGAAATAGGCAGTTCAGCATATGTTTTGTCATTCTGCTCGATTTTGTGCATATATAATTATGGAATTGTGATGTACTATTATCACCAACATTAATTCCTCTATTACGGTAGTGCTGTGTGCGGTGCATATGCCCGAGAGCAGCATTGATCACACTGCTATTTAATAATTTATATGATTGATCCGAATGTCTCATAACTAACTGTGTACGGCTCTTCCCTTCGCTGAAATCTCTTCAACGGTGTTACTGGAGCTCATTGCGCCTCAGTGATTCTCGACGTGTTTGCTGAGGTACTGATAAATGATTAAAGAAAAAAGTTGTAAGAAGTGGTAACTCAAGAAACGGGAGAGATCGATGATCCTTATTCTCCGCATCGTGTCGTCCGACACCTTCAAACGTTCTATAATATGGAAACCCTTCAGTTGAACTCTGTGATATGCACTAAATGAAATACAGGGCGGAGGGAATGTTTCGCGGTTTTTGGAAGTGCGCCTTTTTGCTTGGCTTGTGCGCATATAAGGGGGACATGTCTGCACAAATTTACTATCATCATTAGCTGTAATTTGAGCATTTCTAGGGGTTGGGACAGCTTGCAGCTGGACATTGATGGTATTTTACTGTACGATTTCTAACCTGGCGAATCGGAGCCTCATATAGTCGCCGTATCAACGCTGCATTTGGGGAAGTTAATTTGTTTGTGGCGTACAAGATTGAACCTCTCAAAGGCAGCGATTACGATAAAGAGGGAGCACATCGGGGAAGCATATGCACCACACGAATCAGTTACTTGGCTGCCAGGGAAGCGAGGTGTGGCGCTTTCACGACGAAAGGTGCGCTGGTTGCTGAGCAGGACTTCGAAAGCACTCCGCCCCCAAAAGCGATCCGCCCACTAGTTTACTTGTTGTGATTTGGACGAGCTGCGTTGCCAGCAGCGGCACAACTGGAGCAACTCGATTGGAGCGTGGTTTGGCATGGTGCCACCAAACGCGTTGCGGTGAACTCGTTCATACGTCCGCTTTCTGAGCTGTTACCTGTTCATGAGTGAAAACCAACGGCCAAAAAGGGGGTCCCGTTTTGCGTTTTCTTGACGGATTTCTCCGCTTTTTTTTTCGCCACTGGCGTACCATTGAGCACCACCACGTCTCTTCAAACCCTTCTTGAATCTATCGTAATCGCTGCCTTTACTAAACATTTCTGTAAACCGTGCTAGCCATAGATATTTTGGAACTTGCTTATAATTATTGGGGTTACAAATGTTTTAATGCACAATGTTTTAAATGCACAAAGAAGGAAATTTTAAGGTGGCACCCACCATTGGGTGCCATTGTCCCACGCGGCGAACATAGTGGCACCCACCGGTGGGTGCCATTGTCGTCAAAGGGTTAAGTGAGCCGCTTCTGCCAGTCGGCGTGCTTCGCTCCCCGGGGGAAGCGAGGAAGCCGGACGGCTCGGGGAGCCTCCAACACTCGGCAGCATGGTGCATCCGATCGTAGCGCGTAACCCCAACCCTGGCAAGCAAGCAGTACGCGGTCCTCTTACTCAAGGGCTCGGGTTGTAATTGGCTGATGGTGCTAGATCGCCGTCTGTGGCGAGAGAGAGAAAATAAAGAGCCAAAGCAAGGCGTTCGCGTCGATGACATGCTCTACCGTCGAATGGTCGCCCATATTAAAAACGAAGTAGGAACACAGGGGTCTCATCCCGCGGGTTCTGAACCGTTTATTTCGGATCTCTCTTAACCGCTGAACCGTCTACCACCTTTACTTTCATGCAGTCAGTGGGCAACGATTTCTTCGTAACGCCGCCTTTAGGTTGCAGCGTCATGCTCTTATAAGCTGTAGCTATACATCTGGACCACCCAAAGTCAAGTAATAAAAATTTATTGAAAGACTCTGAAATTAACGCTACATGTAAAATTACCGTATTGCAACCTCATATATGAAACCTCATTGGAAGATCGATTATGTGAATGAAAGAAACGACTGACTGATTGGGAGAGCGGCTGATGAGGCAACGACGACGAGGGCACGATCAATGTTCAAGAGAGAAGAAGGGCACTCAGAGATTTTGAGCATTAATGGAATGTCTGTGATCAATGAACGTGGGTGATCGATACCGATCAATAGGAAATTATCAACATATTGCACGTTAACTTAAATTAATAAAAATACACACAAATTACATGACACGTTTGACATTGAACAAATGCTCTTCTCAACAAACACTGTCACTATATAAATACATACATTGACATACATTTGTATCTGAATCTAAATCAAGAATTAAAACTTGCGAATCAACTTATTCTGTCTGCCCTGGGCGATACATGTGCTGCTGGGCGATCCGACGGCGTTGTTCTGCCTCTTTTGATTCCTCATCGCGAGTCACGTACATCGTCTTCGACTCATACTCCTCATCATCTTCATAGTAGAACCCTATCGGACGCGGTGCTTCTGTAATGTAGAGTATACTTGTAAGGCTAAACAAGGGATTCATGGTTTCGAAACCGAATTTCAATCAGTTTCAATAGAAAATTAGTAAGCTGAAACGCATTTTTATTGACATGGTGAGAAGCGTGGATGAATGTGGCACCGCTTTTCGTGCACACGGTCCGAAAGTCCAACGCCACATCGAATCCCACTCAAGGCAACCACGAATTCCACCCCATCAAGACTGGGTGAATAACAGTCGAGGATTTCTCTACGGGGTCACTTCTGCGCAGGAGGAAGGAAATAGGGTTGTATTTGGACTTACTCGCATTTCTTTACTTTGCGACCTTTCTTCTGTCTGCTTGTTTTTTGTGAAGATTCGGTGACATTTACCATATTCTCTATATTCCAGTCGTTTTCTTTTTTATCATACAATATTCTTTTCAGATGTGAAGTTCGTTTCCAGCCAAAGTCACAACGGGTGGCAATGATAACCGCCGGAATCGGTATCCCTTTTCCCAACTCTTATTTATTATTTATTTATTTATTTATTTATTTATTTATTCTATTCAAAAACAGTACTTGAATTCTGGCACATGCCAGCGTTAGGGTCCTCACGAATTGTAGTTTACCTGCTTTCTTCGAATCGAAGATGAAAACAAGTTGATTTCAGGAGGTGTTGTCGCAATCCTTGTCGTCATCGTTATCGTCATATTTATGATCTCATTCCGATTCAATCGGTCCGAAGTTGATTTCGCGGACAAGGTTCAAATAGATGATTTACAACAGTCAAATTTCCTCTACGGACGACCTGCAATAGGTAATTTCCTGTTTTCTCAGAAGTTTTAGTTCTTTGAGAGAGTTCAGCGTACTCGGTTAAAGGACACATTGCGAG